CCCGCCCCCCATCATGCAGACATTTTATACAGGCACCATTGAGAGCATCCTGTCCAGCTGTATCACTGTGTGGTATGGTGCTTGCACTGTGTCCTGCCAAAAGACCTTGCAGCGCACCGTGAGAACAGCTGAGAAGATCATTGGTGTCTCTCTGCCCCCACTCGTGGACATTTACTACTCCCGGCTGACCCGCCAAGCCATCCGGATCGCAGGCGACCCCACACACCCATCCCACAGCCTCTTCAGCCTGCTGCCGTCGGGAAGGAGATTGCAAAGTCTCCGTGCCAGAACCAGCAGGCTCAAAGACAGTTTCTTCCACCAGGCGGTCAGGAGACTCAACTCCCTCCGTGCTCTGCCCAAACTCCCCACCCTCTGCCTCTGCCCGACCCCTGCCTCCTGTCACAGACTATGACCCTCCCCTCATTATCCGTCATCTGCATATTGCATATTGCACAATGCACTACGTCACTTTTATCCTCAATAGCCTCAAGTGCCATTGTTTTATGCTGCTTTTATTGTATATATCGTCTTTTATTGTATATATCGTCTATATGTTTATACTGTTTTAGACTACATTGTCTTTCACTGTTTGCTGAGGATTGAGAGAAATAAATGTCATCCATGCTACATGTCAATGTATGCATATTTGACAATAAAGTTGAACCTTGAACCTTGAACCATCATTACCATCAACACTGCTCCACTGGGTTTCACTTTCTTGTAGACCACAAAGACATTCAGTGGCACTGAACATCTACTTGCACGGACCGTGGACAGCATCAAATATGATGCCAGTCCGTGCCACAAAAGACAACCGGTAAGCGGTCCAAACTTACCATCATCTTCTCAAAGAGGTCAATGATCTCCTTTTCTGAGAGGTTCATGGAGCGGTCGTCGAAAAGCGGCTGAGGAATGGGCAGTTCAGTTTGGGCGGAGAGGGGGTCCGTTGGGTGCTGGATGAGAGGCTTCTCCTTCTTCATTCCCGTCTTTCGGAAACTGGTAATGCGGTCACGCTGCACGAGAAACAACATTTGGGATATCATTTCTATATCAATCACAATTGCAATGACAGGTAATCCATATTCAGGGCATGATGGTGTTCCACAGAAATGAGCTGTTGTGTGAAATCCCAGTACTGTTCACTAAAACATAAAGAAACTTTTTTTTTTTTTTTTTTTTTTTTAGTCTTTCCAATAAAATAATGAGATTGAGGTACTTCACATTGGATGTGAAACATTATATTGAAAAACATTTTGATGTCTGTACAAACAAAACTGAGACAACAGTAAAACAGACGACTATCCAAGAAAGCAAAGATTCTATGAAATTCACAGACATTTCACTTACCACCTTACCCAAGGGACCACCTGTTTGTTATCAAATAATGACACGCAATTGGCTTTCCATCATGACTGGAATGATTTATTATCCTCTATGGTGTAAACCAAGAAAAAAATGTGACACCCCACCCCCGTGCAACAAATGTGAAGATTAGTATGGAATGAAATAGAGAGCACATGCTGGATTAAAGAGCATACCCAGTGGTTTTGGAAAGTAGTAATTTCATGCACCTTTAATGTGTTGTTCAATTTAGGATTGAATGATTTATGTTTGAACCAGTAACAAAGATGGCAAAGTGAAAGTATGGTTTGGGGTATTTAGAACTCTTACTGTGGCAGCAACATGACAATAGGCTGATTATCTTTGATTTTATCGCAATGTATTGAAAACCTACTCCTACAAAACTGTCATCTCAGAACCACGTTATAAAATGTGGGAGGTGCTGACAAAGAAAGTTACAATATAATAGCTGTATGAATCAATTTAAATAAAGAAATTAAATAATTTACATTTATATTTTTTAGTAATTATCTAGATAATTTGTGTATATACAGAAGTGTGAAAATATTTAATGTTGAAAGAAATGACTGCGATATTGTTTTTTGTTTGTTTGTTTTTGCTATTTTTATTTTCACCCTTTTGGACTATGGTACGTATGTGCCTTACAAAAGAATTAAGTGCACTTCAGCCTTCCCTTATGATGTTGTGTTTTGTGGAAAAATAATTCTTGATATGCAGGACTACATCCTAAATTTTGCGCAAGTAGAAAATATATTGACATTTCCACTCATGTTCACAATATTACTGATAAATGGGCGGAAGTGTGGGTCCCAAGTCTGCAACAAAAAATATTCAAGAATACACTTTTTTTTTAATCATTAAATTTATTTATCACAGATGCGCATAGTAGTTGTAGTAAATTTAATTGCTCTGTCTCAAATTTTAGGGGCAAAATGAAAAAAAAAAATGGGATGTGATGAACACAAAAATTTAATTTGAATTCCAAAAGCATTGTTTCACTTTGTCATCATGTGTTACTGACTGATAGTTCATTTTTTTATTTATTCAACTCAAACAACACAATAAATTTACATATGTAAACAAACAAATGTGATATTGACATGCATTATGTACGTTCACTGAAATATTCCCAAATGGATCAAACAAATTAGAAGCTGTCTCACTGGCAGAACGTGACAGGTTTTAATAGGTGACTATTAGAAACCTACGCTTCTCTGTTTGCTTCTAATGCATGGTTGATCCATCGGCTTATTTCAGTTCAGACGAGTATCGTGTAAAATAATGACAAGAAAAAAATGAACATGCCAAAGTAAAACCCAGCACCTTACCATATCATCAGCCAATGTTTTTATGTGTATGTTCTGTTGGAAGGGAGGGAGGACACAATGTAAATGACAGGACATGACCACAAAATAACCAGAGGTGAACAGAACCCCACATCTGTGTTGAATGTACAGAGGTGTCTTCCTTGTATCACATCTCATTCCTATGATAGAAACGCAATAGGATGGAGAGGAGCCCCAAAATAAAGATACAGTAGTAACATCACAGGTTTGTTTCCATCATCAACAGGTGTATCTCAATCAACCAGAATACATGTATCATGATTTTTTCAGGAGTTCAATTCAAAAAGAGAAACTCATATACTATAGATAGTAGGTTCACTGAACAAAGAGGGGAATATTTATTGGTTTTATTTTTGGATAATCTTGATCATCAAGATTATTCAAAAATAATAAAATTGTAGCCTACAGTCACAAAATCCCTAAATTTCCCATGTGAGTTTTATTTTTCAAAATGAATTAACTTTTATATTCTAATTTATTGAGATGCAGCTGCATGTGATACCTAAAATGATACCGTGCAAGTGCAGGGCATGAAAATACTTGTTTCAAGATTTATGAACAAATAGGTGAGTGTAAAGTTCATATCCCCTGGCATGCACACCTGAAAAAGGAACACCCACCACACATGATAGGAAAATCAAATCAAAATGGATGATAAAACGGGCATTTTTAATGCCACTTCCAGGGATAAAATTGCAAACCTACGCCACCATACCTTGCGTGTTCATGTTATTTTGACAATGGTGGAATTTGAATCATGTTGACCGACAACTAAATCAGTCAACATACTTATCAACATCATCATGATGTGGAGTTGCAACATGACAGTAGCAACTAACAGCAAAGGGCACAAGTGCTCAGGCCCAACTTGTTTACTGCCTAAATGGGCTGCAGAAGAATACTGGAATGACATTTACAGTCATATATATTATATGTGTGTGTGGGTGGGTGTGTGTGGGTGTGTGTGTACACACACACACCCACACACACCCACCACACACACACACACACACACACACACACACACACACACACACACAGTATACATAAATATGGCCAATATAAAATAGAATGGTGATCTATTTTTCAGTCATAGCACTTTGCCCTCGGAAAGCAGTAGAGAAATAGATATTATTTCTTCTTATTATTTAAGGGCAGCACAGTGAAACAGTGGTTACCAACTCTGCTTCTCAGTGGCAACATGGCCACCATCTTTGTGGGATTTTCTCAAAAACATGGAATGAGCACTTCAAATGCCTCTAAAATCCTCCATAACAAATACAGTAAATTCACAAAAAAAAAAAAACAATTGCCTGCTGAAGTATGTGACCTATTCTACTGCTCTTCTCCCCAATAATAATCAGTTTGCACAAGTTAAGTTGAGTTTTTCAGGCAAGTGTTGGCGTTTGAAACATCACGGTCATTTTGACCCGTTGACATTTCAGAATTTTGACCTGCACGAGCAATTGTCGGTCGGACAATCTAGTCAACCAATCGGAGGGGGAGAGGTTCCCGCAGCAGAAGACAAAATGGGTCGAGAAAAACTTTGAGAAAAAAAAAATGAAGTTAGACTGTTTTACTCTAATTTGAAGGTGCTTTTTGTCCAGATTTTCCGACGAAAAACTTTTACCCAAAAAGACCAATACAAAAAAAACCTCCTGTCCAAAAGTGGCCAATCTAAACAGACTCAGAATTTTGACACACTGCCATTATTTGAAAATCTTGTCACATTGCTGTCAGAATTTGAATGACTGAACTGAACAGTGGCCAATTGTCCTTTCTTTTGACATTGTGCCATTGCTAAAACCTTGTGACCACGGGGATTGTGTGTATATATCCCTGCATACACTATCCGTAAAAATGTGTGAAACTGTCTTCTTGATTTGTTTTGACAGTGGACAACACTCTGTCAACACCAATGGGACGGAAGTGGAATAGCAACAAGCCCAAACAAAGTGTGAGCATTTGTGTGCTGACTTTTTGTCAGATGTAATTAACCCATTCAGTGGAAAGACTTCTTCAAATCACATGTCGGAAATTGTGTCTGCCCAGCACGACTTCTTCTCGATAAACGCGGCTTAGACGACAACTTCTACCATTGCTAAATCACACCGTTTATGTGCCATTAACCCGGGCACTCAATAGCACTATAATACCGTGTGAGAAACGGGCTAATATTTAAATGTCGCACTTTAACATTTTCTAATCTATTTAACAACAATCAAACCACTGGTTGGCAAATTGCCTTGACTGGAGGGCCTTTCCTTGGCCCATTATCTTGGCAACTTCGCAACAACGTAATTTAACAATCAAGACTACATGTCCTCAGGGCACCCTCGATTAATAAAGTAAACTTTTCACCGTAATAAATGTTTATCAGAAAAGACCATCATCACTTCTAAGGAAATAGGCCATTGAGTTCTCGGTCTCCCTCGAACAAAATCAGATTGAAAGACAGTCTCGGGACACATGCCAAAGTATGCATATAATCACTAAAGACACAGTGAATCATATTATGTTCCTTTATGTTTTTGCTTCTGATAGTAGAAGGAACATGACAGCGACGTATCTCTCTAATGGCTCTGTAACGTGCGCATGTAAAAGCAAACCATTTATGTTTAAGATGGGCAACATTACACAGCATTGAGCGAACGCAATAACTGTTACTCCCAACCAATTTAACTGGACCATCTGTATGATGTCATTTTAAGTCGCCCACTGGAACGATAGCGATAAAGTCGGTCGCCGCGTCTCCTCTTTTATACGAGTTTAGAAAGAAATTAGCTTTAACTTTAACGACTTCTAATAATAACGGGGGATAACTGCCGATAGTTTGTGGCAACTTCAAACGGCTTGGTCTCCCTCTACTGGCAGATCCTCACCCAGTGAAAAATACCTTGATGAAATATACACATATGGTATATTTTCATTATCATTTTTTTAAAGAATGCATTCATACAAATCAAGGACCCCACCATCAAAGACTCCCCAAGCTGAATACCCAACTACTTTAATATGTAAGGAATTATGGTAGCTATGAACATAACACCCTCATCATTTGTCTCAGGTAGAATGTGCATTGCTGTCAATGTGGTCCACATTTTCGGATATCAGGCATCAAAGACCACCAAATACCAACGGAATTATCCAATTACGCACCGTCTGAACGAATCTTTGTCAAAATTAGTCAAGCCACATATTTTTCATACTATTCAACAGCTGCCTTGGTGAACTCCGCGAGGAGGTTTGCACAGCAAAACCCACAATAGTTTTCAAGACATCGCTTATGACCGTATGAAAAAAAATGCGCCTTTCAAGGGAATCCAATTCAGCGTATTGCTTCTCACTTGTGTGTGTGTGTGTGTGTGTGTGTGTGTGTGTGTGTGTGTGTGTGTGTGTGTGTGTGTTCCCCTTTTGAACCAATAGACGAGGAAACAAAAGCGCAGTTAATCCTGACACAAGGCACATAATATGCTCCTGATTGTGTTTTATTCAAGAACCAAATCACATTTCCCGACTCGCCACTGACTGCCTGTTTAAAGACAAGTTAATTTCCCTATTTCTAAGACAATTCAGTCGCTATTTTCTAGTCATGCACTTTTTCTGTGCAAGTACATTACTTGGAGACACCAATACATGATTAATGCCATCGCATCCAACAATTGTAATGAAAATGTGATTTATTTTCATCTAATAAACAGAAACCTGTCTGGAACATGGCAAACGGTTCACTCATATTACACATTTTAAAGGAACATCTTGTAATTGCTGACATTTTAATTAACCTACAACTGCATATTATTCCAACATTCTTGCTGCACATTTTACTGAAATATAGCCGGTAAAAGGCATTGATTGCAGTTACGTGGCGTCTGAGTCTGAACACTGATGGACAATAAAAGAAGTATACAGGCGATGAGACGCAAAAGAATGTTGTATTGTCCTGTTTAAGTGAAACTTGATCATCAACTGTCTTAACTCGACATGCTGCACTGCAGCATTTTTTTATTTATATCTTCAAGTATTTACTTAGACTATAAATATTCACACACACACACAAAAAAAAAAAAAAAGACTTGCGGATGTAAAGTGCATGCCAAAGTAACGTCCTGGAAGCATCACTGGAGAAGATAAATAGAATGAAGTAAGTTCTTTTTTTCACTTAGAACTCTCATTTTGGGCTTGTGGCAAAATAGCAGCACCATTTTTGATAAGGTACAAGAAATCTTTGAAAACAACATTAGTGTTACTGAAATCTGACCGGTGATACCAAATAAAATAGATGCACTATCCACATGTGCAACTGCAAATTACCAGTATGAGTTGGTTTTCCCGTCTACATGTAAATACCAAACACGTACTGTTCACCTATTGTAGAAATACTTGTATTCCTGTGTACATGGTACAAATGTTGATGGATTTGTACACTAAGTAAAGTAATTTAACAACACACAATGTCATAAGCGGTGTGCCAAGGTACATCAATGACCCAGATGGTCCATTTCAACAGCAGGAACTCCATCATGGAACTTGGAACATAGCGGTGAAATAAGAAGACCCTGCTGGGAATTGTAATACTTTAGAGAGGTCTAGAAGCCTTTGGGGCATAGTGGAACTAAGTGAAAGTATCGAGAACTTCCTGGAAGTGGAAATGCATCAAGAGTTGACATGTGTTAATTCATGCACCCCCCCCCCAAAAAAAAAAACACAAAGAAACAATTGTAGGAGAATGAACAGCTGAAACTCTTACAGCCTACGCTAGTATGTCATGAAGTATATATTTGGAAGAGCGCTGAGAAGGACAGGCTACAATCTAAGATGAAGGATTCTCATCAGGGCAGCACACAGTGTATATATACAGTGTGTGTGGGCCAGCGGAGGAGGCTTGGCACATGAATGCTGCAAGCGAGCATGCAAAGGCACACTGGATTAAAAATAAATAAATAAACTGGCACACTTTTCTCAGCTGACTTGCGTGATAACAACTAAATCAAAACTGCACAATGAGCTTTTTA